ACAACACACACAATCTCCTTCTCTCTCACACACATACACACACACACATAAACACACAGGGACACATACATAACAACCGGTTGAGTGCAAAACTAACAAATCTTGTGCATGTTGTCACTCATTATAACAGTACCTCCTACAATATACACACACGCACACGCGCATTAGAACTCCCACACATAAATTTTAACACGTACACACACAAACAAAACACACACAAACACAGAACACTATATATCAATCTATTCATGTTTAACTGAGTTACCAATATCTTTCAATATCTTGTTACTTAACATAACAGATGATCAGAAAGCCGACAGGCGTTAAAGAAAATAACCTCATCCTAATTTTTCCATTATTACTGCATACTATAAATAATTATATCTTATAATTATATAATTAAAATTATATATAAATAATAATTATTAATTAAAATAAACTTTTTTAATAATGTGTAATTTCGCTGATGCTACTGTTTTTTCTACTACTACTACTACTACTACTACTACTACTACTGCTACTACTACTACTACTACTACTTCTACTACTGCTGCTACTGCAACTGCAACTACTACTGCTACTACTACTGCTTCTACTACTACTGCTACTACTACTATTACTGCAACTACTACTGCTACTACTGCTATTACTGCTGCTACTACTACTACTACTGCTTTTATTATTATTATTATTAATGTTACACGATGATGATGACGACGACGACGATGACTTTCCAAGGCAACAAACTTTTAACCGTTATAAATCATCGTCATATCATCATCTGAAACTGTTTCGTTAAACCGCTAACGTGCTAACAGCTGTGTTGTTGTTGCTGTTGTTGTTGTTGATCATGATGATGATGATGATGGTCAAAATAATAATCATAATAATGGGAACATCCTTTTATTTTCTAACTCCAAATACCAAATATTAATAATAAAATAATTATAAAATCATATTTAATCTACAATGCTCGTCACTGCAAGTGAGTGCATTTTAGAGGGACTGGTTTAATTGCTCAATTGGGGTTCAATCATTCTTATTATTTTGGCGTTATCAATCAAATTTTATAGTAAACATAGAGTTGCAATAAAGTTAATAATAATAATAATAATAATAATAATGATAATAATAATAAAAATGATATTGATATTATTAATAATACTGTTTTTATTGAAAATAATGATGAAGAAGGTGATGATGAAATGATGGTGATGAAATGATGATGATGATAACGATTGCATGATGATGATGATGACGTAACAGAAGTATTGATGATGATGATGACGATGATGATTACGTTGACTGAGAAGATATATTTTGACGTTTTGAAATGCCTCGGTCAGATGATATCTCTATCATTAGCCACACTATAAGTAGTATGGAGTTTAGAGAGAGAGAGAGAGAGAGAGAGAGAGAGAGAGAGAGAGAGAGAGAGAGAGAGAGAGAGAGAGAGAGAAAGATAGAGAGAGAGAGAGAGAAAGAGAGAGAGAGGAGAAGATAGAGAGAGAGAGAACGAAAAAGGAAATATATATATATACATACAATAACTTTTACTACCTTTTGAAACATTTTTGATATTTGTGATCACTTTTGATGTTTTTTTCTCCACAAAGTCTTGTGATTAATGATATATGATGGCAAGTGGTTAATTCTTTTTAAGAACTGTCCTCCTCATCATCATCATCATCGTCGTCGTCCTAGTTGATGTTCTTTGTTTTATCATTATCTTTGTGTCATCATTATCAACATCATCGTCATTATCGTTACCATCACCATTATCACCATCATCATCATAAACATCACCACTACCATCAACCTTTTTCTTCATCATCATATTCGTCATCATTTTTATCATCAAAGTTTGGAATTGTAATGATTTATAATCAGATGGATGAATTACTCAGTTTTTAGGTAAAAAGTTTATGAAATAGTAATATTTAGTAGGATAATGATGGTAATGGTGATGATGATAATGATGTTGATGATGATGGTGGTGATGATGATGGTGGTGATGATGATGATGCTACTGCTTGCTGCTGCTGATGATGATGGTGGAAGTGGTGATGATGATGATGATTGTGGTGATGATGATGATGATGGTGATGAATGAATGATGATAACGATGATGATGATGATGAATGAATGAATGATGAACGTTTATCATTATCATCCACATCACTAAATAGTGATGTGGATGAAGAAGAATTGAAGTTAGGCTACTACTATCACGGCGTCTTTTATGTTTGTTTATACTCGTCACAATTTGACCAGAGAGTGGAGAATGCTAAACATTTTAGCAGGACCCCGTGAAAAAAATCACCATCATCAGCGCAACAACATCATCATCATTATCATTACTTTCATCACTAACATCATCATCATTATCATTACTTTTATCTACATCAGCATCACCATATCATCATCATCTGCAGCAGCATCATCAGCATCTACATCAGCATCACCATATCATCATCATCTGCAGCAGCATCATCGTCGTCATATCATCATCACCATCACCATATCATTATCATCATCATCATGTCATCATTATCATCATCATCATCATCACCGTATCATCATCATCACCGTATCATCATCATCTTCGTCATCACAAGTACTATCATCATCATTATCATTATTCTCGTCATCGTTACGTCGTCATCATCATCGTCATCATCATTGTTTATATTACTTTTACTTTCCAACAGTATGATCAGTATTATCATCGCCATTGCGAAAAAACTTAAGAATGAATTGATTAAAATGAAAATGGGCGATTGAGCTAATAAGTGAATGAATTTATGATTTAATGTATGAAAAACAAATGAATTAAAAATATATGAAAGAAAATAATTTTTAATCAATTAATTTTTTGCATAGTTATTTATTTAAAATATAAAAATTTTCATAATAAAATTCATAATTTCAACCCCCACCACTAAAAAATTCCCTTGTAAAGGTCGACCCAGACTGACCTTGCTCTACAACAAAACGACCTTTACAGCTATGAAAGAACCAATAGAATTGGTCTACAACCTGCCACAAAACTATCCCATACCGCATCTGGTCGAGTTGCGGCTTGTGGATGTACGCATGTTAACACGGGATTCTAAAGGCATAACCTCAAAAAGTGCTCTGAATGATCTTTTGCCTGAAAATAATAACAACAAAAAGAAGAAAATTAAAAATAAATTTCATGGTGGGAATAAAAACAGAAAGAGTGATCGCGACAAGAAAGACAAGAGAGTTGATGATGACGTCAGAAATGATGATTATATGAGTGAGAATACTCACAACAACTTTGGTGATGATGACGCTGACGACGATGGTGGCGGTGGTGGTGATGGTGGTGACGATTTTCATGGCACAGATGGTTATGAAGATGATAGCATTAAAGTTGCAATCCAAGATAATTATGATGTTGAAAGTAATGATAATGACGTTGACGAAGGAGATGAACGGTTCATCTTATTTTCCGAACGGGTGAACCTGGCGGAGGTGAACAGGAGCGGTGAGATCACGATTGTGTGTGGGGTGGTTGACTATGCTGGCACCTTCGTTTTCCAACTTCGGCTACCGAAACAACAACAACAACACCACCATCAACAACAGACCCATCAACAACAACAGACCCATCAACAACAACAGACTCATCAACAACAACAGAACCATCAACACCAACATTCGCAAACACGTCAGCAATACAAGCAGCAACAAAACCAGCTTCAGCAACCAAAGAAGAATGGAAAAGAGAAACTCCAAACCACGCTCCATCCGCAAATCAATCGCGAACGCAAAAAAATTTTGAACAATTTTTATGGACAGCCGAAACAACGAAAACCACAGCAGAAACAACCTGATGAACAGCAATTGACGTCACTATTATCATCATCACTATTATCATCATCACCATTACCATCACCATCATCATCATTTTTAACATCTCCGTCCTCATCATCATCATCATCGTCGTCCATAATTGCCCAAAGTCCTGTCATCCACATAGCTTGGCCTTATTTGAATTTGACTTTCCCACAAAATCTAACGTCGTTGGACAGTCTTGACCAGGTGACTTTGCACGTGACTATACCGGAAGTGAGCCCAAGCGGAAGTTCAATCGGAAGTACAAAAACGTGGTGTGAAAATAGCGACGGGTTCTACGTTGTGCAGCTGATTTTGATTGGTCGCATGAAAAAAGTACCACGTGACGTCATTAACAACAACAACATCAACAACAACATCAACAGCAACATCAACAACAACTACATCAACAACAACAACAACAACATAAATAACAACATTCACATAATAAGCACTCTAAACATCAGCAAACTTTCCGAACTGAACAGCGAGCTGACGTTCGATTGTTCCTTATTCGACCAGCCAGGCTACTACTTGGTATGTCTGTATGTTGCATAAGTTGGGCATTTGTATTCTACTTTTGTATTTGTATCGGAATGTCTTGTATTATGTGTTTATTTATGTTTGTTTGTTTGTATGTATTGTATGTATGTATGTATTGTATTATATATTTATGTATGTATGTATGTATACATAAATTTAATGTTGTCTAAGTTGAGTATTTGTATTCTGTTTTTGTATTTGTATTGTGTATCGTAATACAACGTCTTGTAATATGTATTTCTGTTTGCATGTGTTGTATCACATACCTATACATAGATTTAATGGATGGCGTTGTTATAGCCTTATGATTGGTGTGGTAGTGTAACGGTTAGAGTCGTTTGCTTGCGAGTTGCAATAGCAGGTTTCAAATGCATTAAGATCCCACCCACCGCACACAATACGCAAGGTGTATGGTACGTTGATTCACGTGTGTTTATATATGCTGTGTGTGTTGGTGCGTGTGTGTGTGTGTGTATATATAAATTGTGTGTGTGTGTGTCCATAAACTTTCTCTCTCTCTCTCTCTTCCTCTCTCTCTCTCTCTCTCTCTCTCTTTCTCTTTTCCTCTCTGTGCGTGTGTGCGTGTGTGTGTG